TATTTTCGGATTTTTCGACTCTTGGTTTTAGACTTTGGTTTTTTTGAGGTGAGGAAGTGAGATATGCCTGATGACGGCTAGTTTGATAGATAATATGAATTTGTTCTTTAATTTTAGTTCTAAAAGTTAAAAAAAAAAAAAAATTTATGTCTATATGACGCTTTATGATTGGTTGAAGCAATTAAATGAAACTAAAATGACACATTTGCCCTACATATGATAGTAAAAGGAGGGAAAATCCAATTTGGACTATGACAATGAACTCACCACAAGTTATAGTTAATAGCTTTTTCACCACGAGCGTCAATTTAAAAGTAGGGTATCATCATGTTGATCACGAAAAAAATTGGCTTTATTTTATTAAGACCCTAAATTGGGTAAAATCATTTCTGAATTTGTACTAATGTAACAGGTGCACCCCAACTCTTATGCCCTAGTGGTAAGCATGGAGAACATCACTCTCAATTGGTACTTTGGCAATGACCGCTCTATGCTTCTCTCCAACTGCCTCTTTCGAATGGGCGGCGCCGCCATCCTCCTCTCCAACCGCTCCTCTGACCACCGCCGCTCAAAGTACCAGCTCATGCACGCGGTCCGCACGCACAAGGGTGCAGACGACAGGGCATATAATTGCGTGTTCCAAAAGGAGGACGACACGAAAAGAGTCGGCGTTGCTCTCTCGAAAGACTTGATGGCTGTGGCTGGTGAAGCCCTAAAAACCAACATCACCACACTTGGTCCAATAGTCCTCCCCATGTCAGAGCAACTCCTGTTTTTTGCTACTTTGGTGGCAAGAAAGGTGTTCAAGATGAAGAACATCAAACCCTACATCCCGGATTTCAAGCTGGCGTTTGAGCACTTCTGCATTCACGCCGGAGGGAGAGCGGTGCTGGATGAGATCGAGAAGAACCTTGAGCTCAGCGACTGGCACATGGAGCCATCGAGGATGACTCTCTATAGGTTTGGGAACACTTCAAGCAGCTCATTGTGGTACGAGCTGGCTTACTCTGAGGCCAAGGGAAGAGTCCGAAAGGGAGACAGGATGTGGCAAATTGCGTTCGGGTCGGGGTTCAAGTGCAACAGCGCGGTGTGGAAGGCGTTAAGGACTGTTAAACCAGCCAAGGAGAAGAACCCTTGGATTGATGAGATTCATGAGTTTCCTGTAGAGGTGCCTAAAGTGTCAGCCGTTGCTTCTTAACTAAACCTCGGATATTCTGAGGAGGCAATTGTGTGATTTAATTGTGTTTCTGTACGATGATTTATTTAAATGTAATTCTATCACAACAACGTTGGCTGTTGCGTATAATTAAACATCACCGCAACTGATTAGTGGGCCAAAATCTAGTCTCAAAAGTTGTTCCATCCCAACACAGAAATGAACAGGGTAAAACGCTCATCACGGAATTTCGAATTTCCCATCAAGTTGCAAACTCGACGAATTCGAACGGAAGTCTCAATCTAACAAGGTCGTCTGAAAACAAGCAACCGAATAGAGTGCATGATATCAGACACGTTCTAAAAAGTATACAACAGAACCACAACCGAAACATCCGTACACACAACACCAGTTTAGTTTCTCATTAAAAAAAACACTTGCAAATTACATAAGGGAGTATTTGAAGGGGAGTACCACTTAAGGATCTGACTAAATTCTCTTAAGACAACTGCTACAAAGATTAGATCCTAGACTTACTTGTCAGCCAGCAGGCGAACAATCCGATACTTTTTATAAAGAGAATATTCATCAGAGGACACAATTATTAGTTACATGCCCCAAACACCACGGGCTGCTGCCACTTTGTTGTTAGGTCTAGACGTCAGTTCATACAAAATCCTGGCAAAGGTATCAGAATACCTGGCATCTGAGAATACTATTTCAGCAAATGCATTCTCATAAGCTAGCAGCAACGCTCGGTTCTGTGGCTCAGACACAAGGCTTTCCAATATCATCGCAGCTTTCCTGCAAACTTCAGGAACTGGATGGGGTTGCTTGATGACTTTTAACAATCGATCAATGGCCCTGTAATTGTTCCGAAAGAAATGTCATCTCAGTGATATTTTGATTTTCAAACTGCTGATCAAATGAAATGATTCAGTATTTGGGATTTTTTTTAGCGGAAGAGTCCTTACCATCGCTCACTAGCGAGTTTTAGCCTGCAGTCCATATTCACTTCAGCGAAGTTGTAGAGTGCACCAACTGCAGCCGCTTGGGCCCCATGCACTGTTTGTGCATCTATCGATGGTAAGCTCATAAGATCAACCAATCTCTTGTGTATCTGCAGTGTTCACAGAGTGTCATTACAAAGATACAATATTTCAAAAATGTAAAAACACTTTTGTAACAGAGAAATTTCTGAATATTAACCTGTGGAACAAAGGGAAGAAGGAAGGGTTCATTATCAGGGTTTATGACCAAACGCCCAAGTAACTCAGCTGCAGCACAATGCCAGGTTTTGACTACAAACCCCAGCATCCCCATGATGGCTTGAACTGCACGTTTTCCTCTGTTTGATAGAAAATCAATTAATTTATCAACAGATGGATAACAAAGAGAGCGTAAGCTCGAAAAAGAAGATCACAATTCTCACGTTATCCTTATGTAGGATGGCTTTGATGAGCTGAAAATTCCAAGGTCAAGCAACGGAGCCAAATTCACAACCGTCTCAAGAGAATTTGTCACAAGTTCCTCATCCTCTGTTAACAAAGGAAGCATTGGAGTCATTTTACACTAAAATCCTAACCAGAAAAGCAAACTGGAAGGTTACTATTTTCTTTGTTCTGAAAAGGATTTCCAATAGGAAAAGGTATGAAGCTCAATCATGAAAGAAGCATACAAGAAGAAAAGTTCCAAACCAATTTAGTCTACAAGATTTACTGCCAGTAAAATACTAAAATAAGCCTATCTATAAACTACAAGATTTGAAATTGGAAAGTACATACGATCTACACATCTTTAACAACTGAACTACAAGAAGACATCACCACCATAGAGTTTGTAACTGGATGTTACATGGAAATTTTTTAAACATTTATTTCACATACATAGACAATTACACCGGAAAAAGAATTTTAGAGTTGAGACAATAGATTATACACTGCAGACAGACTGCAGTCAAGAAATAAATAATGATTTCAATGATAATGCTTCTCACCTGTGACATAATCTTCTATGCACTGGAACACTGTTTCCAGACAATGGCGATGTTGGGCCATAATGACTTCATTTTCTGGCATGAAAGAGAAGTTGCGAATGATATTTGAAGCAGCAACAGCACACTGCTGTCTTTCTGCTCGACCTTCTTCATCCAGGTTAAACAGACCATCTTCATCATGCCACCACTCTGAAGAAGCACGAAGTTTGGTCACAGCACTCAGCACTAATGCTTCTTGAGTACCGGATCCGAAGCTGCCACATGAATATTTTCCCACAATCAGTTTCTCGTATCAAAAACAATTTCAGACACTCAAACGGCAAATACACTCATGAAATTACTATATATCTATAGAGCTTACCCAGGATGCGGGACATTGCCATTTGAACCCAATGCCTCGTACTCATTTCCAAACCCTGTTACAACCAAATTTGCACCCAAAGTTCTTACTCTGGGCGCCTTTACATGTTCTTTTGGAAGGGCTATATCACGCCAATCATCAATCTGTTATTGACAGAATCCCGACAACATGGGGTCAAATGTCAATAGATACTGGCTGGAACAAGATAGTTCACAAGTTGAGGAATGTTATTCCACTCTCAATTGTTTATCTGCTCTCGTTTGTGAGCGCGTTATAAAAATAATAATACTATTGAATTAGAGATGCAAAATGACCAACTGAGAGCTGCCTAAAACTTGAGCATAAAAAACAAAATTATATAAATCAGAAAGCGAAAGAGTTCAAGACGTACAACGCTGAGAAGAGCATCAAGCAACCCAGGAATCTTTGCGAGAGGGGTTGCGTCTCTGCGCATGTCATCTTTCTCTTTAAAAGAGAGTAATGTGAGAGTGTTCAACGCCCATGTCAGCTCACTCTTCAAGCCGCTTTGAAGAGCCAGGACTATCCTTTTATTGTTCTGATCTGCAAAGAGGTAATATGTATTGGTAAGAACATCGACTCCACAATACTCGACAAAGGAGCTTTCCTGCCAAAACCGGTACCGTTATTACCATTACTACAGCCCACCTAGCTCAGTAAAAGTTCTGATAATTGTTACTTCACTTTGATTTCTTTTCATTTATAATTCCGCAATTTGTATCAACCCCAAGATTAATAATTGCATATACCTAACAATTCATGGAAAAATTGAAAATTTCGGGAATTTTAGATTCAAATGTCAAGTAGGGTTTTGATAAACTGACCGGCGAAGGAACTGTGGACGTGAAGGGAAGGACCGAGGAGAGTCGACGGAGCTGCCGTATCGGCGGCGGAAGCGGCAGCAGCTGCTGCGCTGTTTCCGCCGCTGCCAAATGGGCGGCCTCTCTTCGCCGGCGGCTGCGAGGCTCCGCCACCTCCGCCACTAGACTTGTTTTGCTCCCTCTTTTGCATCTCTCTCTCCCTCCCTCTCACGGTGTTTGGTCGTTTAATTTTAGGGCGGATAATAACTTTTATTTTTAACCGGATCCGTCCTCGTCAAAAAATGTATTGGGCCTAAGTGGATTCTTGAGTCATTTGACTGGGCCATGTATGCAAGTCTTGTGGCGTTATTTCTCTTTAAGACATTTTTTTAATTTAAAATATATATATTTTTTAACGAGCGATGTTATTCTCACTAAAAAGTGTGTGAGAGAATAGGTTAAGTCTCACAAGCGAGTTGGAGAGGAGTCTCTCCAGAGAGCGCCGATGTGTGGTGCAGTGTGGGTGTGGTGCTTTTGAGGAGAGTATTATGGGCTGTTTTGGTATATGGTATCCGTTTTGGCGATCAATGTTTTACGTTTGGGTGGTCTCCCTCCTGGTGTATTTGTTTGGCAACACATGACACCAAGACAAGGAATTCAACATTATTCTTGTTGCAAAACAACATCAACCATATATTTCTGCAAATAAATTTCAATTCATTTGATGTATGTTCCATGTACATTTATCTTTCGATATACACAACAACAAACCAAATGCTTCGATCCAAAGTCTCAAAGGCTGCCAACCGTCATGAACCGATGATTCAGAACAGCCTGTGCAGTTGGCCGTTTTCGGAAGTCTGGATTCAACATTGCCTAGACCCAAGTCAAATATTATTGTCTTAGATTGTATTAATGAAATGATATTAGATTGTATTAATGAAATGATATTGACATTAGTAATTATTGTTGCAAGTATAATTGAACCTGGAGTAACTCCCAACCAGCACCATCTCCAAGATCCAGAAAATTTACGGCATCTAATAGCCGGTCATCTGCTAAACAGTATCTGCCACAATGGATAAACGGGAAGAAACTAAGAAATTGAGGCAGAACCAATACAAAATCTGCAAAAAGATCTTAACCTTATGATATCAAAGGCATCTTACTCTCTTGTTGCTCCGATATCAAGTTGGAAAGTGCTCTCCAAAAGCCTCTGCAAGTTCACCACATAAAAATTATTGCTGAAAGATTTGCTGATATGACTATAACTGAACTTGGTTATCAAAGAAATGGTCAAGAGTCGGACCATTTATTTCATTTTTCTCAGACAGGAATCAATCTCCAGAATTTTAAGAGTAAAGTTGCTTGGGTTTTCTAAAGACTCCAGGGTCTCTGCATAACCATCCTAACTCAATCTTTTCTTTTCTCTAACACTGTTTGCCTACTATTAACGTTGTCTCTCAATCACGATAATCATATGTGGTATCCACTGTGTTCTCCTACATCCATTACTTATATGACGAATGGGACAAAAGAAAGGAAAACTAACGAAAAGTCCAAAAAAACTTCTCTTTTAACGAAAAGCCATATTTAAAGGTATAGTGAATAGTGTCAGTTAAAGGTAAAAATGTGGTTTTTCGTTAAAAGTGAACAGTACCGGGAGTGTTTTGTTAAAACTCCCAAGAAAGAATCCATGAACAAAAACAAAAGAAAGGTATATGTGTTAACACGATAGCTTACTTGCAACGAAAGGCCATCCATTATCCCTGCTTCACAGAATGGTAAGAATGCTAAGTATGCCAAGAGAAGACCTGCCTCATATCTGCACGGAACAATATGAAGAAGGCATAAAGATTATGAGGCAGATTCAATCTTCTAAATGAAGCAAAACTTTCAGAAAATTACATGTCATCTGCTATTCCGAAGGCTCTTTTTTCCATAGGAGTGAATGCACCAGCAGTAGACGCTCGTCTCCAAAGTCCATCCGAGAGTAATCCAGGATCCCCTTCTAGCTTTGTGTACCTAGGAAACAATGTGTTTGGAGGATATTCAGACGTTATAAGATATGAATCCACCAACTGTTATTCGATTATTTTCTATATGTATTTCTTTAATAAAACAGATAACAATATATGTAACAATAGCATTAGCCTTACAAAATCACTATTATTTTCCTTTAAATTAATTGATCAACTAAAGAGATTCAATAACAACATTTTCTTCTGCGTTCTCTTTGGTTACCCCCTCCTTTGTCGTTGGTAGATTAATAGACAGGACATAAAAAATTACAATGTTCAAAGACTCACTTGGACAAAATACAAAATCTTGACTATGGATAAATTATGCACACAAATAAAATTACAAGAACAAGCAAATCAGACGGCAGGAATCATACCCAATGTCAACAGAAAATGCTAGATCCCGAAGTCGAGGGACTAAGTAAACAGCATCTCTCTCTACAATTGTGCTGAAAGCAGTGAAGTTTAAGTGGGGATATAACAGAGTGAACAGAAGAATCATAACACATTATTCAGATGAAGCACTATCTCGAACCAAAATAGATATCTCAAAGCAACATACTTAAGAATAACAGAAGCTGGTCCAAGACTCTGGTGCAACCTCTCACGATCATGCATGTAAGCTAAACCTCTCATAATGCCCTGCAGCAGCTTTGTAACAAAATATCTTCTGCGTTTGATAGTTTCCTCTTGTTCAAAATTATTCCAAACTTGTCCTCCGTCAGCACGGGTTTTTGACACTCTTTCACTCATCACTTTGGCATAATCTGCTGCACTAGCTTTCCCGTGATTGCGAAAAGCAAGCCACTGCACATGATAAATTTCCTCATTCATTCATTGTTTCTACCAAAAGAATTAATAAATGCAAAGTCTTGAGAAATAATTACACATGACAAACCTGCTCCCCAGTTTTCGTTTCAAACCCACCTATGAGTAACACAAGATTCTGACAGATGTCATTTGAATTGTTCTGCAAAAGCAAAAGAAATGAGTTACATTGAAAAAATATAGAAAAGAAAAAGATTTAACTCTTTTAGTAGTGATCTGAATTGTAAGAAGTTAGCAAAAGGTTCGTGCAACTGCAATCATTTAGAGGGTAATTTATAACTGGATTACTTGAAGGAATAAGTGAGCATTTAGCTCATTAGCAGCCATCATATCTGCCTCATTCCCACCAGCCCGTTGTCCAGGATAAACCTTCATGGTTAAAAATGCTACTGTTCAGTACAAATAATGAGCCTATGAAATTGAAATGATCCGATGAGAATGATGCCATTGATAACAATATCACCTTAAAAACAACTGGAGTCCCTCTCAGCGGACCCTGAGAGACTCTCCCATCATACAGCCTGCGAAAGAACTGCCATGAGTACTATCAGCACCAGAAAGATAACAGTTCACAGATATTCACATTATAAGTTTCCTTTGAGCTACTTTCCTCAAACTGATAAGACCATTAGTAGTGCCATGCTCCACCACATTTAGTCATGTCATGCTCGCAGCAAGGCAACAAATGAATGATTCAGAGAGAGCATGAGTATGTGTTTTACGCTTCTGCATATTTACTACTTAAGAGTGTTTCTCCATTTAGAAGCACCTTTTTTTATTTTATAAAGCGGGTATGGGGGAATTGAACTTAGGTCTCTTCCAACATTAGGAAGTACTTGCTTTGTAATAACTCTCCTTAATTAATGCAGGGCATTACTACAAATATATATCCTGTAGAATCCAGAATGTACCTGATCTTTACACTGCCTTCTCCTACATCTTGGACTCTCAACCGCCCCACATCCCCCGATGAGTACTCAGCATCCGCGCCCAAAGGAGACCCCGAAGAGCTTTTTCAGGCATTGGAAATGAGAAACCACAAGCAAAAAAGAAACACGAACATGTTCTTCCATTAAATTGATGCCAAAATTAATTCACATCAAATAAAACAAAGGAAAAAAATATATATAAAGTATAAAACAAGGAATAAAAAAACCATGTAGAATTAGAAATAGTTCATCTTCTCCATTTTCTTAGCTACCAAACACTAAGTAACAGAATCACTTACAAATTCAAACGAATCGAAAGCCTAACCTTCCTTCTAATTGTTCAATCAGGGAAAAAAATACCCACAAGAAATCTAATTCATTATTATTTTCTCCCTTTAATTTTCTTGTAAACCAAACAGAAAGTTAACCAGTTTTGAAAGAATGATACCTAGTGATATTCATGAAGCCATAGCTCCCAATAAGTCGACCCACCTCGAACGAGTCAGAGTTCGTGATCAGATTCAGACTTGCCCTGCAGCAGAACCGAGTCGTCCGAGTTCTGCTTAGTGAGTAGGGTTTGTGGATGCGGCGAAGCGGAAAAAGGCAATGGCCGGGTGGTGCGAGGAGCATGGTCGTTTGCTGAGCTACCTCTTTGCTTTTTCAGTTCTTCTGAAGAAAATGGCGCCAAGTGGTTGGTAAGGTCGTTAGGGATGGTGAGGATAAGAGAGGTTCTTGGGATGGAATTCATTGCGGTTATCCAATCAGCAGTAACTTCTGTATTTCCAATGATCAGCTGCCACCTCAATACCACATAATTGTTTTTTTGTCAAACGATATATTTTGTTAGTTTAGATGTTAAATTGTAACCGTCATTGCAAAAGTTTAACTCTTTTCCAACACTGTGGTAAATGGCCGTTTGCCAATACCACATCATTTGAACCCATGTAAGTTTGTAACCCTTCGATCACTTGTGTAACTTACTAGTTTAAACTATAGTTGGTCAAAATAATACATACATACATACATATATATATATATATATATATATATATATATAAAATAAAATAAAATAAAAAAATAAAAACAGACAAAGAACTAGGTTAGTGTTGTAAAATATAGCATGAATGTCACACATGTGATTGTATGAGGAAGCAAACTAAACTAGACTTTAATGACAACTATTGAAAGTCTTAAAGTGAAAAAGTCTCAAGGAGGTTAAATTTTTCTTCACGTATGTAAAGTTTTGTCGGATCAAAACTTCTATATATAGAGGTATGTGTCGGATCAAAAAATTTCTTCTGACTCATCTGATTGTTGAATTCTCATCATGTTTTGCAAGTTCTTTTTCGCGTTCAGTGTTTGTATTTACCCTGAAACTAAACAGTTGGATACTAATGTGATCTTGGAGGAGTCTGATGCTTGGCCTGCAGAGATTTCTTCCGCAGCTGAATGCTTTTGCATCTATATACATTAATTTTGAAATCTGTTGACATCATTTTTCAATCCCGTTGTTTGTGTAATAGCCTCAAGATGCTTATGGCTTGGAAAAGCTCATGACTGAAGAATTATGCAGGCACTATAATAAGGATTTTGGTATTTGAGTGTCGAATTGGGCGTTTCCACAACATTTATGGACCCCTTGGAACTTGGAAAGGTCAGCCTACACTTGTGAATTCTGTCATGACTTGATACACAATACACGGGCACGGGCACACTTCTGCACACATATATTTATGTATTTTGACATATTCATTGTTGCATATTGTTTGTCCTTTGTTTCGCTGGTGGTAGAGAGAAGGCTCCTGCTGCCTTCTGCAGAAAAAGCCTTACTTCCACTGATAAGTTTGAGATGTGGGGTGATGGACTGCAAACTCGGTCCTTCACCCTTCATTGATGAATGCGTAGAAGGTGTCCTGAGGTAAAACTGCCTTCAAATATATATTTATCTTGCTCAGATGCAATCTTTTGCGGTACTGGTGATTCTGTTACTTTTGTTTCACATCTAGGGGTTTAACTATTAATTTACTAGGAAAATTGCAATGTTGAAAATCCTTTAAGGCTCTTTCGAATGCTGTCCCGCTCTTATTCTAAATAGTTTTGTGGCTTATGCACGAGTGCCAGCAACTTTACAGGCATCTTTGCCTCACTAATTGATGCATATAACACAGTTTGTACCACTAAATGTTGGATAAGTGTTTTTACTTTTTAAGCTTCATTTGAAAAACCAATAAGTTGGATTTTGAAAAGATATACATTGATTTTAATAACTGTAATAACCATATGATGACCATGTGGCAAGGTATCATTGGGTAGGAGGTTAGATAAGATTGAGTTAGTTAGCATGAAGTTGTTAGTGAGGGTATTTCAGTCTTTTGTAATAGATAGTTGTAACTATAAAAAGAGGAGTGTACAATCATTCTAGGAGTGTGGTTGTATTAGTTTTCTTCAGAAATATAACAAAAGCTTTTCCTCTATTCTCTTCATCTTCTTTGTCGATTCACCTTTCTTACTATTGTTCATTTCTGTAATTCTTCATAAACACATATGTTAATATGGTATCATCGCCGGTTTTTGGCTTGCTGCCGTAGTCGGTCTTGACGCGTCTTCTGCTGTGGTTTTCACATTGGTTCCTGGTGCGTGCTTGGTGAATCTTGATCGGTTGGGTTGCGGATGTTTCTTGCTGGAGTTCGAGTGCTGGGTTTTGTGCATTGCTGATGGATTACAGTTGTATCAGGTGATATTGTTCGTGTTCTTTCATCTGGGTTGTTCTATTATTTCTGGAGTTTTGTTTGGGTATCTGCGATATGCTTGGGTCGAGATTATGCTTTTGTTTCCCTTGATTTGAGAATTCTGGGTGTTTTCTTTTGACTTTATTGTTGACAATTGATATGGGTGTTTCTAAAATAATGGATTGAAGTGCTGGATTTGTAGGATTCAGAAAGTGTCATTCTTTCTGTGTTTGGTAGTGGGTTGCCAGGAAGTGTCATTCTTTCTGTGATTACGATTTGTTTCCAAGAAAGTGTCAATCTTTCTGTGGTTGAGCAGTGTTTGCCAGGAAGTGTCATTCTTTCTGTGATTACGATTTGTTTCCCAGAAAGTGTCAATCTTTCTGTGGTTGAGAAGTGTTTGCCAGGAAGTGTCATTCTTTCTGTGATTAAGATTTGTTTTCCAGAAAGTGTCAATCTTTCTGTGGTTGAGTCGAGTTTGCCGGGAAGTGTCATTCTTTCTGTGTTCAAGATTTGTTTACAAGAAAGTGTCAATCTTTCTGAGTTTTGGGTGCATAGAGTGTCAGTCTCTATAGTGTGAGGTTTGTGGCAGTTTTTCATCTTTCAATCATGACTGCTCCTGTATTCAAAGTCGAAGGTGTTTTGGGTATGATTACCATCAGGCTAAAGGAAGATAATTTTGCTAAATGGGCATTTCAGTTTCAGTCTGTCCTACGTGGGTATATTGTTTGGTCACTTTGATGGTTCAATTCCATGTCCACCAAAGTTTGTTATAAGTCCTGATACTGGAGTCACTAATGAAATTACAGTGGCATATCTTGACTGGGAAGCAACTGATATGGCATTATTGAGTCTGCTACTTGCTACTTTATCTGATGAAGCCATCGAGTATGTGATTGGATGTAAAACAGCTTATGAAGCATGGGTTAATCTTGTCGATCGTTTTGCTTCTGTTTCTAAATCCAGGGTTAATCATCTTAAAACTGAATTACATACAATTCAAAAAGGGTCCGATACAATTGATAAATATCTGTTGAGACTCAAACTTATTAGAGATCAACTCAGTGCTGCAGGTGAAGTAGTCTCGGATAATGATATTATGATTGCTGGTCTTGCTGGATTGCCAAAGGAGTATGGGGTGATTCGCACTGTGATTCTGGCGCGGGAATCCACACTCACTCTGAAAGAATTTCGAGCACTGTTGCTTGGTGCTGAGAGAGAAATTGAGGGCAAATTGAATATTATTACTCAGAGTATGTCTGCTTTATATGTTCAAGGATCTAGTTCTGGTTTGAATTCTAGTTCAAGTTCGTCTGCATCGGGTTCCAATCCTCAAAGCCATGATCATATTCCTGCTATAACTGCTGGTACTATTACTGCTGTGCCCAATGGTCCCACCTCTTTCTCAAATGCAGATCAGCAACAAGGTTATCATCTTCCAGAGTCTTATGGGTATGGTTTTAGTGCTAATTCTGGTTCTGGTAGTCAGAATGTATCAAGATCACAGTCTTTCAATGGTCAAGGCAATCAGTATAGAGGTGGGCATAATTACAGAGGAAATAACAGTTACAGAAATAATAATGGTTTTAGAGGAAGGGGATATTTTAACTCTGGGAACACAACTCAGTCTTACTCTGGTGGTTCGAGACAGTTTGGTGCTGGAAATAATACTTGGTCTGGAAATGTTGATACTAGAGCTAATGTAGTGGTTGAATGTCAGATATGTAATAAACGAGGACACACTGCAGTTAATTGTTTTCACAGAAATACAAATGGTCCAGCTACTGGTTTTGCAATTGCATGTCAGATTTGTGGCAAGAGATGTCATTCTGCACTGGATTGTTATCAAATGGGCAATTATTCATATCAAGGTCAGCCTCCATCTTCATCATTGTCTGCCATGAATGCTCAACAGACTTCAACTTTTGTTCCTCAAGATGCTTGGGTGGTTGATTCAGGGGCATCTCATCATATAACTTCTGATATCAATGTCTTATCTCAAGTAACACCATTTGAAGGGTCTGAGAGGATCACTATTGGGAATGGTACAGGTTTACCAATTAAACATATTGGTTCCACTATCCTTCAGACACCAACACACTCTCTAACTCTTAATAATGTTCTACATGTACCTGCTATTGCTCGAAGTTTACTTTCTGTGAAATATTATGTGCTGACAATAAAAGCTGGTTTATATGTGATGACTCTGAATTTTTTGTGCAGGACAAGAAGACAAAGGAGATAGTGTATCAAGGAAAGAGTAGGCCTGAGGAGTTATTTCAGATTCCTGTCTTTACAAGTTCAAAAGGGTCTCAGTTTACTATCAGGAATCCAGAAGCTTATTTGGGGAAAGCAGTGAAGAGTAGCATCTGGCATAAAAGGCTCGGACATCCATCTCATACTATAGTAGATATAATGTTGAAGCAGTCAAAGATTTTCATTCCAACAGATAATATACATAGTACTTGTATTTCATGTATTAGAGGCAAGATGTCTAGGACTCCATTTCTAATGAGAACAGATAAATGTACTTTTCCTTTTGAAAAAGTACACACTGATATATGGGGGCCTTCTCCTATAAGATCTCTAGAAGGATATAGGTACTATGTAACATTTGTTGATGAGTACACAAGATTTGTATGGATCTTTCCTATGAGTAATAAATCTGATGTGTTTCTGATATTTGTCAAGTTCTACAATTTTGTTGTTAATCAGTTTGGTGTATCAATCAAGGTTTTACAAACAGATGGAGGGGGTGAATATACAAGCAAGAGATTTACTTCATTTCTTGCAGATAAAGGTATTGAGCAGTTAATTTCATGTCCTTATACCCCGCAACAGAACGGAGTTGCTGAAAGGAAACATAGACATATTGTAGAGACTGCAATTACTCTTCTTACTGATGCTGGTTTACCTTCTGAGTTGTGGTATTTTGCGTGTGCACATGCAGTGTTTTTAATCAACAGAATGCCTTGCAAAAGCTTATCTTTCAGT